CTAGTCTTCCGACCACTAGAGGTGCATCAGAAAGAGTAACTAATGCTCATTCACACACCCATAGCAAGCAATATTTATTTTCCTAGGATTGCCTCTGATTGGCTTACCCAGATATTCCTAAACTAACCCTAATCAATCCCACTCCTCATGCCTAAAGCTAACCAACCAAGTAAGGCAACGAGTACTAGCCAGTCAGAGACAGAGTGGAGCAGATCATTCCGTCACCATAGGAAAGGAAAACTGCCCTGATGTCACAGCCTTTGGAATAAATTCGGGGTTTAGTATCTTGTCCAAAGACATTACGACAGGAGGGATTGAACCACCAATTTTCCGATTAACGGACAATAGGGTTGCCCTTTAAGTTTCTACACATTTTATCTTTTATCCTTGTAGTGAATGGCATGAAACTGCATGCTTTTTCAAAAATGTAGCCTACTTTATTTTATGACTGGTTGGTTGGTGGAACGATTATACAGCTGCTCATTAATCAGAAAATTCACTCACACTTTGCAGTTCTACCTCCAGCCTTCACACCCAAGCCCATTATTCCTGCCCGAAACCAACCATCTGATCTACCATCAATCAGCCGAGTCGGGTCTTGCTTAATGGTTAGTGGTTATGTTAGTGGTATAGTGGCAGTTACCAGATATCATACTCTTTTCATATCAGTGTGATTGTCTTTTTTGCATTCTTTCAGTGCTCCACAGAGCACTTCAAGCTCTCCAGAGAGAAAAATACATACTTGAGCCTATGACTTTTTACAGAAATGCAGCCCAGGCCCCTAAAGAGCTATTTGAGCTTTGTTTTTTTCACTGCTATGGCCAATGATTTAGAAATGCAATTTACCAGCAACACTCCCACAGTTGCTGATTGCGTGAATATGCACTAGGTTTTCCTGTACATCAGCATTTTTTTTTAACCACACATACAGTATAAGACCATCCATATCTGTAGAGCAAATGCACAGAGGCTTAACAACTTCAAGCTTATCAAGAGCTACTTCAAAATGCACGGACCAGTGGCAATGTGGGCATTGGGACTGTGAGTTATTTCAATTTGGTTTGTGCCATTTCAAATTGATATTCATTAGTTTTTTCTGTCTCATTCAGCCTTTCATTATGACAAAGTGCCAATTCAAGCTTGAGCAAAGCTAAAAAGTTTAACTTTTTTTTACCATATATACAAGTAGTTCCTCAAACAGCCAGTTATTTAGCTCAGGAGTCGGTAGAGACCAACAAAGGAGATAAAAGAGAGAGACTATTGCACTCACATTTGCAAGGTGGACACAATCACGGCTTTAAATTAACGATAATGTTGCCCCATAAGATATCACCTTAAAGGACCAGTGTGCAGGATTTAGTGGCATGTAGCGGTGGAGTTGCAAATTGCAACCATTTGAATACAGCTCTGCCTTCCAAGCATGTAGAAGAATCTATGGTGGCGGCTTCACACTAGCCGTTTTTTCTGCAGGCTATTAATCCATAAAAAGTTATAGGCTAGATGAAAAGCACACCTGGCTCAAACATTTCATCCTCCACATATCCAGCCACAAGCTTCAGCAGTTCTTTGTCACTTGTAGCCTGCAGCTGTCAATGATTAAAATCCTTTTTTTTTTGTTAAACTCAAAGTAATGGGAATATTTCCAACTGCTGAATGTAAGCATTTCCATCTTCCAAGTTAGCTTCCTGCTTGGTGACATGCATAATTGACAAAAATTAATTCAGGGATGTGACTGGACTGTTGGATTTCAGATCAGTGGGGGTGACAACAAAAGAAAGGCTGTAACTAGTTTTTGTGGAGGAACTGTAATATTATCACTGAAATATTATTACTAGTAATAACTTACTGCCCGAAACTTTTTACAACCTTTTAACAGCTTGTGAAAAAACTAGTTGTAGAATAATTATGCCAAGGCATTCTGCTGTTTATAGCTTGTTAACACAACATGAGCAACCTACATAAATGAACAGCTATGACTTGGCCCTCAGTATGCTGCTGCTTCAAGTAATGACGATCGATAATCTACACAAGCTCCGAGCAGTGGTCTTAGTTACAACTGTTGCGGGCTTACATATTCACAGCTTAACACTGACGCCCCAGAACATCCCCAATACTCAGAAGCAGTATAAGAATAATAAAATGAAGAATAAAAACAGACTGTGTGTGTAGGAGACAGTGCTCAACAATCTGTCCAACAGTGTCCACAGCAGGATACTAATCAGATATCTCCAGGGAACTGACTCTCTCTACATGAATCACAGATGACTTTTACAAGACGTCTCGCTGGACTTGAGGACTCGGCATCCATTTCATCTGGCATGCCAACATGCTTCTGCTGCCGCCACGGTTTACTGTCAAATCCATTTAGTCCTCTCTCCTTCTTCTACTGTTTATCCACGTATAGGACATCCTACTGTTGTCTCTGCCTCGCCGTCTCCTTTAACAAGATGTACTTTGGGAAGTCTGTGACAAAGCAAGAGGCTGACAGGAATACAAGAGTATCAAGACAGAAAGCGAGGGAGGAAGTGCAAACCTCAGGCGGCTTGAATCGTATCAAGGTCGGCATACCTGACAAGTGCAGACATCTTTACAGCACTCAGTGTCTTCTTTTCTATTTTACACTCACAGACCATGCATTTTAGCTTGGCTAGCATTCCTTCTACAACAAATGATTTTTAAGGTGGCATATAAACAACATATACCAACAAATCACTGTTGACTCATTTAAAACAGACAGACTCAATTGATTAGCATTTAACATCATTAATCACAAAATGTCTGCGACTACATGGCCTGGTCTGCTTCTGTGAGCCTCCTTTTCCTTTTTCCATCAATCCGCTCAAACATAAAATCTACTTACATAAACAAACACACTGCTGTGAAGTAGTGTTTGCTTAACATTGTCCAGCTAATTGTACCA